TTTCTGATTCTGAATATTTTTCTTCTAGTAACTTTTCAACTTGTTCAGATTATACATAATTATCATAAGTATTAGTACTTGAAACTCTTTGGAATAATCATTATTCTCTTAATTTTTATAAATAATTCAGTCTTCATTCTTAAAACTTATTATAGATTATATTTTTAGTAAAATCTATCTTTTTGAATATAATTTATAATATTATATAATAAAAAGATGAAAACTAACAGATATATAATTCTGAATCTGAGTAAGTATAAAAAACTAAGTTATAAAAAATAGCAAATTTATAATCTGAAAGTTTATTTTTAGAATTAAAATTAATAATAACTAAGTATTTTATTTTGATTATAATATGTATTTGATATTTATATATAATTTATATTTAATAATAAAGAAATCTTAAAATATAAGATAAATTAGTAAATAAATAAAGAAAAGATATAAAGAGTTTTAACTTAAGATAAGAATATATATAGAAAAGAAGTAAGTATACAAGAGAAAAGATTATTAAGAAGATGAATTATAGAAATATAATAAGAAATTAAACAGATCATTAAAGAAAAGTTTGGATAAATAAGTATAAATAAATTATTTATAATTTATAAGAGTATTTTTAGATATGAAAGATAGTTTTAAGATAAGATTAACAGCAGAAATATAGATTATTAATATATAAAATAGATTTGTATTATAATAGTGAGCTTAGAATAGATAAAGAAAAAGTTATAATTTTAATTATGAAAGATTAATTTGACATGTAACTAAAATTTTTCTTATTTATAAATTTCTAGTAGTAATATGATATTTTTTAATCAAATAAGATTATAAAAAATAGTAATAAAAAGTACTTGATATATATAAAATATTACTATATAAGAATATTATGACTAGTATGAAAGTATTTGATAAAGTATTTAATATTAAAATCTATAAAAAAGATATTGTAAAAGATAGAATAATATTTGATAATTTATAATTATTATATTTTGATTATGACAAATAGTTAAGAGCAGTCACTTTTGATAAGTTTATTAGCTAAGTTATTATTTAAATTATTAGAATAATCTTTTATTTTTATAAGTTATATATATAAATATTTATTCTTGATATTATGAGCAAGAATTTTTTATAGATATCAATATGATTATTAATAAAGTTTATATTAAAAGTGAATATATCTGTTTGTGATATTTTTTTTAAAATCTTGTATAATAATTTAATTATCTATAAAAATATTAATATTATTTTTAAGAGAAATATATTTAGAAATAGGTAGATTATAAAGATTTTAACTTTGGTAAAAGAGAATAATTCTGTTATAAAAAATAAGATAGAAACTAATATTATTTATATTATTCATGTAATATCTATTTTTACTTGTAATATTAATAAGTTTTATATTAATTTATTTATATAAAAGATAAATAAATATGAGAAATTGTTAAGTATAATATTAACTTGATATCAGAAAAGAATTAATATATTAAAGTTAATAAAGTATAAAAAAAGTAAGACTTAATAACTATATATTAAGAAAGTTAATAAGTACAAGTTAAATATATGATGAGATATTATATCTTATAATACTAATTATTTGAGTAAAAAAAATTAATATAACTTTGCTTCAAAATTATTTTTTATATTATCTTCATATGATTAGATACATATTATTATATTTGATAAGCTATTTAAGAAATATAACTTTATCTTTTTTTAATATTATATAATATTTGATATATATTAATCATAATATAATAATATTATAAAGAGAGATATTTGTATTTAAAGATTATGAAATGTAATTTTATATTATGTTAGATGTAGTAAAATTAATCAATATTTCTATCATTAGAGAAATAATGTTTATGATAAGATTTTTTCTAAAAGAGAAGTATTTTGAAGTTGAAACAGATAAAATTAAATATAAAAGTTATTTTTATTCTTATAAGTCTTATAGTTAAATTTAGATAATTTGATTAAATAAATTAGAATCATTAATGTGATATATAAGCTTACTTATTTTGTGATAATGATTGTAATTTTCAGAGATTAGTTAGATTAAAATAATATTTGTGATAAGAAATATATCTGATATATTTTAAGTAATTTCAGCTTTAGCTTTGAGTAGCTTTTTGTAATAATACATGATGGATGAGTAGAATATTTTGAAAAGAATGATTAGTTATAATTTGTATTCTATGACTAGAAAGAGTATGTTATTGATAAGATAGATAATCTGTTAGTAATTAAGTTTTTTTGTACAAGAATAAGAAGCATATTTTGAATATTTTGCTTGATGATCTGTTTTTATTTAAATTTGCCATCTCCACTTATCCAGAGATCTAGGTATTTTATACTTTCTGATAGTTGTAGGATCTTTAAGAATGCATATTCATAACCAAGATAGAGTGATGATGATGAAGAGTCTGGATTTGGATTAATGCTAAGTGCTTCTGTTTTGGACACGTTAATATCAATATCACACATCATGCAGAATTGGTTGGCAGAATTAAGACTGTTTAGTAAGTGTGCTAGCCAAATAGTATCATCAACATAGGCTTCATGGTTAATTGATTGGAATTATTATTATTATTATTATTGATTTTGCTTATTAGTTCTAGATATATGTATATGCTCGTCAAGCTTCGCATTCAGCGAACGATTTGACGAATGTAAATTACAAAATAATTATCATAGGCGAGAAGCTCGTACGTTTGAATATCCACGTAAATAATTTACTAAATAAACAATTCAAATCGAATATAGTATTTGAATTTTTTACTACACTATGGTATGGTATATCCTATAAAATTACGGGTGGCGAAGATAGTCTGTTACAGTTATTTCAAAGACTTTTTGCTTTTAGATTATCATATATTTATTTCACAAATAATAATTATTTCTAAATAGATATTCCAGGCGAAAAAGAATTACGCAATCTCTGTAGTATCTAGAAATATACATCTGCTATTCGAAGAATACAATGGCGTCAAGAATCGAAAGTGTTGTTACTGTTCTCTTGTGGTGCTAGTGAGAAATTGAGATGTTGGAAAGTTGAGATAAGAGATAAGTCTATCGTGATAACTGGTGATGAGGATAATGTTGTTGCGGTGGCGATGCTTTACACATCGAGACGTGGTATGGATGTGTATAATATGTTGGATGCACATCCTTCGTCGATTCAAGGTGGATGATACATTTTTTTTGAATATAAATTAAGTTTATTATGTACATCAATAGGCGTACATTTAATCAACGACACAACTTTTGTAACTTCATTGGATCAAAGACTGAATGTTTGGAAGCTTGTAAAAAAGAAAATCGACTCCTGATTCGAAAGAAAGACTATGCTTTCAAACTTGTGGCTTCTGCAATGGGTGCAACACAATATGTTTTTATCAGGTACTATTTATTTATCAGGACAAATATTCATTGATCGAAAGAAAATTTATATTATTTCTTTTATTTAGTAACGACAAAGATTAAGATCATAAAGGTGATGTTATTGCGAGCACAGATAGCAATAACCGGAATCGGGATAGAGCTTTTTCGAATATGATAGTGAATATAGAAACATGGACGGAATTTGATATTTAACTCAAAATGAGATCAAAGTTTCATAAAATTATTGAACAGTTTTTTATATGGCTACAAAGGAATCATCACAAAATTATCCTACAATTGCATATGCACGCATTATATTACTTAGCATTTGCGCAGATTTAGAACTTATAATGGTGAAGTCAAGTCTATCTTTATCACTCGGTCTCTTCGCTCAATAAAGTCATTATTATTAAAGAGAACATCTTTTTCGACAAAAGGAATATGACAATGAGCACGTACAAGAACTTTGATTCCCAATTAAATTTTGAATCGCTCACGCCGAGAATACCTTCGAATATACAAGTTTATTTCTTTGTAAATTTCTCCTTGATAGTCATCATGAACAAATCCATCAAATGCCTTTTGCAGAGCTTGAAAGAATAATGTCAGCGAGTCGCGTCTCGTGTAAATATCTTTAACTTCATGACAGCCAGCTAAATCCATGGTTCACACTGTGTGCATTTCAATTTCAATTGCATTCGCTTTCACTATTGTTGCTGGGTGAGATGAAATAGCACTCAATCTCGAGAAAAGAGACCTGTAATTACCTAAACATTCAATGATAGGGAAATGAGATGTTTTGTGGTGAACACACTATAATCTGTTCATTTCTATTCTATATTCTGTAATAAACCAATTCGCCATCCGTTTTAGAAAATCCAAGAGTGGAACGCTGAAGTGATTTGTCTTAACGTGGAGCAGCATCCAAAAGTT